CTCTTGTGTGTATTTTACAAGATCAGTTTTGCAAAATGTCTTACGTGGGTCTTCTTGTCTGTCTATTCCAGGTATTGCCATGGAACACAGCTTCATCTGTGCACCGCCACAACATGCTCACCTTCTCCTGGGCTGATATTCCTTGATAACAGCTGCTATGGCTTTTAATAATGAAAGCCTGCTGGCGGAGTGTGACTTCATGGAGCCAAACAATGCGGAGGAAGCGGCCGAAATCCAGCCGTCAGAAGCTTCGCCTCCTCTCATATCAGTCACTCTGCGTGTGACCCTGGCAGCCATAATGATCTTTATGATTACTATCGGTTTCCTCGGCAACGCAATCGTGTGTCTGATTGTTTACCAGAAACCTGCCATGCGTTCTGCTATCAACCTCCTCCTCGCCACGTTGGCCTTCTCTGACATTATGCTCTCCCTGCTGTGCATGCCCTTCACTGCCGTCACTGTGGCCACCGCTGACTGGAGCTTTGGGAGCGGGTTCTGCCGGGCCTCCATCATGCTGTACTGGCTGTTTGTGCTGGAGGGGGTGTCCATCCTCCTCATAATCAGCGTGGACCGCTTCCTCATCATTGTGCAGCGGCAGGACAAGCTGACCCCGCACAGGGCTAAACTGCTGATCGCGGGTTCGTGGATTCTGAGCCTGTGCGTGTCCCTGCCGTCGGTGGTCGGCTGGAGGACGGGCGCAGCAGGCGTCGGGGGCGCCTGGGCGCCGCAGTGCGTGCTGGGATACAGCGAGTCTCTGGCAGACCGCGGATACACAGTGCTGTTGGCAGTGGCAGTGTTCTTTGTGCCGTTTACCGTCATGCTGTACTCTTACATGTGCATCCTCAACACGGTGCGCCGCAACACGCTGCGCATCCACAACCACACCAGTGAGCACTCCTGCCTGCCGGCCCTCAACCAAGTCAGCAAAATGAGACTCACCGGGCTGCAGCGGCCGCCTCAGATCAAGGTGGACATGAGCTTCAAAACCCGAGCCTTCACCACCATCCTCATCCTGTTCGTCGGCTTCTCGGTGTGCTGGCTGCCTCACACGGTGGTCAGCCTGCTGGCCGTGTTCAGCCGGCAGTTCTACTACAGCTCCGTCTTCTACCCCATCAGCATCGGAGCTCTGTGGCTCAGCTACCTGAAGACAGTCTTTAACCCCGTCATCTACTGCTGGAGGATCAGAAAGTTCAGGGAGGCCTGTCAGGAGTTCATTCCCAAAAGCTGCAGACTGTGTCCCAGAGTGCCGGGCAGGAGCCACAGAAGAGTGAGGCCCAGCAACATTTATGTGTGCAGTGAAACACAATCAGCTGTGTGAAGCTCTTGCATACCCTTAAAATAAGCAGTTGAATGAAGTGACAAAAACATTCAGTCTAAACTTTTCAGCCAGCACCTCCTTTAAGTTCTCACAAAAATAAAAATGTGAACATCTACAGTTTTGTGGCTCCATCTGCTGAGGATGTGAGACATTCCAAAGGTCAAGTGAAATGACCTCGCAGTGAGGCCGTTTCTTCTGCTGTTTCCATACATTCATACGTTTTCAGTCTCAAAGTATTCTTGACTTCGCTTCGGGACCATTCTACTTTCTGAAACTTGCTGCCGCTCAAGCTGTTTTATACCTTTCGTTGTCGGTTTACTTCTCTGTTTCATATATCGTCGCTGAATTGTTATTCTGTCTTTCGGGCTGTAAAGTCGATTTCCAGTTGAAAGCAGCTGAATTGTGGTGGTGATAATAATTCTGTTGTCAGTCATGTGATGAGTTACAGGAAAAAAAAAAAAGCATACAGTATTAATGTTAAGTAAACTTTATTTTCTTTAAAAAAAAAAAATCCATGAATGTGTCAGCAATTAAATGTTTCGGTTATTGTGGAATGAATGTTTCCTTAAATGCATTTTCATGTCATGGAAGATGAAACCAGGTAAATAAATATAGTTTTTGATTGAGGTTACATTGAAAGAGTGGAGTGATTGGAGGAAAAACATGTTCTAGCACTGTATGTAAAGTGCACATCAAATATGCAGGGAAATAAAGCAAAAAAACAAACAAACAAACAAACAAAAACCCCATTGGTAGAAGAAGGCCTGCACAAAAAACTTTTCCTATTTAGGAGGAAACGTGAATACTTTAAGCTGTGTGTAACATTCTAAATATATGTAGCACTTTATTATTGTTAAATTATTACTGCATTCATTTAATATTTGTATACGCAAAAACATTTTTACGAATATTGGCAGCCTCAGCAAACAATTAGAGGTTGTACTTCTGTAAATGGGAACATGGTGCTGCTTTATTAATACACTGAGTTGTCCTTTTGCTTCATTTATTCTTTCAGTTTAAATCACTGAACCAGTCGTACAGAGATCTGGAGCCATGATACTGAAGTCTGGTAACAGTAATATACTTTGAATTAATTTAGAAAATGATAAAATGCTCAAAAGATGTTCCCATCAAAGCTTCAAAGCTCCTCAGACAGACAGAATGTTTAGTTTACTGTCTTATGAGTCAAAAAGAAGAAAAGAAGAAGGAGTGAAATCCTTACATTTAAAATACTTATTTGGAATTCACAGAAAATGTCAGAGATCTGTCAAGATCTGTCTGTAGGTTTTGACCTGAAACCCAAATGAGTCAGGGAAGATATAAAACATTAAATAAAATCATGATTGCACGTTTACTTTCTGTGCAAAATTACATTTTTTTTTTCTAGTTTCAGATGCAGATAGAAAACAAATTGTTCGTATTTATTATTCTATGTGAATGTACATAAGTCCCTGCTAACACTTTTTAATGTTCATCTCTTTGTATGGGGTACAAAGCGAAGTAACTTTTAGTCATACACACACTGATGATGTATTTACACGTGATTTAAAGGAAAACTTACAAGGTTTCCATTAAAGCACGGGAAAATTATTAAAATACAAAAGAGAATTTAAATAAAGTTATTTTGTATAAGCAAAGTTTATGTTTTCCTCCAAACACACACACATACATATATATTTATTATCATTATTTTTGATTGACGGAAAAGGGGTGTACACTTTATTAGATCACTATAATACACAATATAAGTTGATGCACACAGAAAACCAAAAATTCCTTCCCACCGCTGTTTTGTGTGAGTAATTCAGAAAAGGTTTTCTTTATCACACACAAGGAGGCTGGAGAATGAAGGAAAGCAGTTCTAATTAAACACAAGAACAAGAATAAATGGAGTTCCATACGACAGATTTACATGTGTGCCAATATGTGACATGCGAGTCACAACCTTCCTTACCTAGATTCAGAGCTCATGTTTGTGTGTTTCAGATCACATTACAGTCCTAACTTAGTTAACCTAGTCCTGGATGCAACTTGTAATTTAATTGCAAAGATGACAGGAGGATGGACTCCATGCTCGTCTACATTCCCAGCTGAGTTACTTTTATTGGTAGCTGGTAAACATATTAGTTCAGGACAGTAAAGATTAACATGTTTGGCTCCTTCTAATGAGGAGGATGTGGACTCACGTTGCACTGTAAAAAGTTCATTTTAGCCGTAGTCCAAGTAAAGGACTGTTTCAAATCAATCTCACTTATTTCTTTGCTTTGTCAATAGAAGTTTACTTTTGTGGACTCTGTCAACTTGAAATTACTTAAAATTGCTATTGTAATTTCAGCAAAAGTGCAAAAAATTAAGTTTGCTACTCCTTTTGCGTCACGCGCCTTATGTCCACATTTCTTTAATTTTGTCTGCTGCAACTTAACCACTATTTTCTTCAAATAGGTTTAATGTAAGTTTAATGACAAAATCATGTTTGACTTTTGATGTTTGGGTAAAATAGATAATTAAGTTGAAAAAAAAAAACAAAAAAAACTTTAAAGTTTCTTTAAAATCAAGTGGCAGCAATGCAAACTGTTTATTTGAACTACTGAATGATTTTAGCACATCTAGCCTAAAGCAAAGGCATTAATATTACTTGTTCACTAAATTCAGATAAACTTAATTTAATTCTGCGTTATGTGAAAAAAAAAATAAAAATGTTAGTCCACTTTACAGCCTACTTTAGCAGAAAAGGGGCTTTGAGGGGTTAAAACCCTGGAACGACATTCTAGTTCAAGATGTTTTGCTCTTCATTATAAAGGTTTCTTAAGGTCTGACTGGGGAATAATACAGATATTTAACTCCCTCCTGCATGTGACCACTGATCACTGACATGTAGAAATTCATGACCCTTTGAGATAAGCTTTTACAAACTTAAGGCTCCGTATGTCAACTATTAGGACGTGTTTGGCATCAATCAGAGCAAACAAAGCTTTATTCAGAAGACGCCTTAAAGAGACAGAAACTAAAAACGTAGCGTTTCAGACAGACGCTGAGAAAACATGCTGCAACAATCTGGAGTATCGGAAAAATGATGTGATTTTTGAGTAATGAAATATATATACATATTGTAGTGAAGCCCAAAAATAAAATTGTAAACTTGTACATTTTCACAAGATGGGCTTTTTAATTAGAAAATGTGTCAATTCAGACTATCAATCAAGTGCCCTGACAAATCTATTACACATCAGACACCAACAAACAACCGACCTCTATAATCATTGAACCAAAGATTGACTGTAAATAAAGAGAGACCTTGGAAGTAAAACGAGATGCTACAAAATATTTTTTAATAACTGTTTTTTTTTTTACTACAGGGTTTTACCTGCATCAAGGAATGTTTTGCGTCTCCAAAGAGAGGCTTTAAGCTGCTGAAAAGACAATCACCGGTGTCAAAATGAAAAGGAAGACACCTGGACATAGCAATGAAAAGTATCGTGGAAAAAAAGAAATAAAAAAGTAAAGAGTGCAACAGAAAGTGTGTATCTGAGACAGTGGAGACAGTGTAGCGGAAAAAATGTTGTTTTTAAAATAAAAAAAAACTAAAAACAAACTCACCTTCAGAATGTTCATCCACTAGGAGGCAGCAGTGATGATGATGCTGCTGCGTCAGCTGCCGTAAAAACCAACGAAGAAGAAGAAGAGCAGCCAACATGGCGACTTCCACGGGACAAAACGGAAAAGCTGTTTCTACTTCAGATGTGGATCTGTTACTGCACCCTGAACTGTTGTCTCAAGACTTTATGCAGCTAATTTTAAGTGAGGTGAGTCACCATTTACAGAGAAACGTGGGATGTGTTATTTAATGTGGAAATAAATGAAGAATACTAAGAAATTAGCATACCGGCTAGCTATCTGTCTGTGCAGCACTTCTCTCAACCTTAGTTAAAGACTCATGTGTGACATTTTGAGGTGAGCTAACAGTGTTTGTTTTTTCCGAGTCAGAAAAATGTCAGTGCCAGAGACTGTGGGAGCAGGGACCGGCTCACAGAGCTGTACCTCCAGCATGTCATCCCGCTGCCGCAGAGGACGTTACCCAACAGCCGCTGGGGGAGGAAGATGGAGAAGAGCCGGGGGAGGCGGACAGCTGACGGTCACGGCTCAGACAGGTACCGGTCCACATGGACGTTATTGTGTAGTCATGTGTCCCAGACTCGGCGTAGAGCAGCTCATGTTGCTAAAAGTAGAACAAAATATTTCCATGTTCTCTCAAGTCAAAATCATTCACACCATTGTGAGGGAAATCTTTTATTTAAA